TGTTAATAATAACAGAAACGCTAAAGAGTCACATCTAATAGAAATATATAAAAAGTTTAAAACATTTATTTTAATTGTGTAGCAGTCAGTTTATAATTTTGGCAGCACTGTTGAGCATTTTGAAAATCTATTGTCATGCCTCTCTGCAAGGCTTAGTCTTTCTATCTTTATGGCATCTGGTGTAAAGTAACTACATTCATAAACTCAAGTACTATACTTGGGTACAATTTTGAGATACTTGTACTTAATTTAAGTATTTCAATGTTTTGCTACTTTGTTCTTCTTCTCCTCTACAGTTCAGAGGTAAATGGTGTACTTTGACTCCACTACATGTATTAATACCTTTAGTTACTTCACAGATCTGGATGAATGATGTGAAATATAATCAAGTGTTGAATCAGACTTTAGTTCCACCTGGAGTAAATCCACCAGCTACCCTGCAGTATACAAAGTACTTCAAACTAGCTGCACCTTCACCAGCTTTGAGAACACTTTCATGATCAATCATTATAAAACATATCATATATATTATTCTGAAATGGACCAATCTGCACAACGACTATACTTTTACTGTCTTTCACTATATTTAGATGAGAATACTTTTCTACTTTCACTTGAGGAACATTTTGAATGCAGGACTTTTACTGTGACAGAGTATTCCTACACTCTGGTACTTCTACTTTTACTCAAGTACAATATCTGAGTACTTCTACTTTTACTCAAGTACAAGATCTGAGTACTTCTACTTTTACTCAAGTACAAGATCTGAGTATTTCTGCTTTTAATCAAGTACAAGATCTGAGTATTTCTGCTTTTAATCAAGTACAAGATCTGAGTACTTCTACTTTTAATCAAGTACAAGATCTGAGTATTTCTGCTTTTACTCTAGTACAAGATCTGAGTATTTCTACTTTTACTCAAGTACAAGATCTATACTTATACCACCTCCGTTTATATCTATGAAAAACTATTAGAAAACGAAGGCTAAAGCTAACGTTAGCAGATAGTGACAATGTATGCTAGCTAGCCCAACGATAATATTGCGACAGAAAAACTTTTCAGTTTACATCACGCTCTGCGCTGCGACAGGGAGCTCTGCTCTGAACACCTGAACGGCCCGTTCTAACAGCTGTTCACCAGCGGTCCAGTCTGTACCACAGTGACTCCGGACCGCACAGTTAATATTAACGAACGCACCCGTAATGTGGCTGCTGAAGCTAGACCATCATCGCGGAGCAGCAGAGCCGACAGGCAGGAAGACTCGAGCACACAGCTCGCGCTGCATTATAATATATAAAAAAAGAACACCATGCGTGTCATGATGGCACATAACAGCTCGCGGCCGCAGATTACTCCGGGTCCCAGACCCCCCCATACCCCAAAAATATTTTTATTGCAGATCTACATGAATCACACAAACGACCTATTTTGGATTCAAAACGGCGAATTTCGCCGAAAGGTGAGTGATTCTCATGCCTGAGTTAGATTCCACCTTCATGATTATGAATCTGTGAGTGAATTGTTTTCTAACACGACCCTTTTATTTATATTAGGTCTTAAAGTTTGTGCATAAATTAGGGCGTGGTCACTTTGATGGACATGTACATGCCTCACTGTCAGATAACAGCAACTTGTCCACTCTGCTAGGCTACAACCATAGTCATAGTACTGTACTTGACCCATTAGCTTTAGCCGTGTTCGTAGTAATTGTGCCTTTTAGGGAATATTGTTACAAATACCAGACAATTAAAATGTCGTGCTGTGCGCTTGAATGTACTAACAGAACTTCCAAGAAGTCTAAAATGATAATATTATACATGTTAACCCCGTTCGCAGGTGTTTGTGTGCTTGGTAGCTTAGCTTGTTACTTATTAGCCAGCTAAGGACGTAACCCTTTATGCATACATATACATTTTAGTTTATGATTCAGCCTTGGGTAAGACTTTTATGGTCTATGGCTATGACGCCCATAATGCTAAACGGGAGCAAATGTTAATAGGGGACCCAATTATCCCAGTGGTGGCCGCCGGAGCTAACGGAGACGCAGGGGGCTAGCTCCAACCGGCGTCCTGGAGCTAGCCCACTGCGGCTCCGTTAGGTCCGGGCGGTGGAGTCCGTCGTTATAACTGGAGATCAAGGAATGCAGCGAAACGCAGACTTGGTTCGCCTGCTGTAGTATTAGCTAAATAAATTATGTTGAACAAGGCTTATTAAGCTGAACATCGCCACAATTGCTCTGCTATGTATCGGTACTTATTTTCTTAACGTGTGAATGACAAGCATTAAGAATAACAAAATATAGCTAATTCTCTTGGAGATTGTCTCATTTGATTATGAATGTAACGTTTATATAGGGGTACTACACTGTTAGCAGTAACTTGGTATACATGTATTTCATGTTCGCTTAGCTTCTTAGCCTGAGCTAGCTCTGTTTACTTCCAGTTCGGAGGCAGCAGGTCCCGCCTCGGCTCCGCCTCTTTGCCCTTATTTGGAGCAGGCGGGATTAGACTCTGACCTTGCTGTCAATACGTAAACGCTCTAAAGTGAGGCTCCACTACACTAAGAAAGAAAAAGACGAGGCACAGTGTAAAGCCTGTTAATAGCTTGCCACAGGCATAGCTCATGTTGAGATATAACATACAGACATGTATAGTGTATGACTCCATGTATTACTGTACCATATAGGTTTAAGTCTAAATCTGCTAACAGCTCAGTTAAAATAAAGCACAGCTATTGTGCAATACATTTGTATTGCATGTATATATTTTTTTGTAAAAATGTCAGTTAAAGCTTAAAAGAATAAAGATATTTTTGTTATCTAAATCTTTGACCTCTTTCTTTTACAATTTTGGAATCAAAACGGGGAATTGATAAGAACCGGAATCGATACATTTCAAACGATACCCACCCCTAATTATCAGTAATCATTTCAAAGACACATTGGATTAACCTTCAGCAGCGTTTTTATCGTTTTAATGCCATTGAAAACGACTTTGGATCAGAAACCAACAGCTAAGGTGAGACGATCTCCCGTGTTTGCTCCGTAATGCTACGTGTTGTGACGTCACCCATAGGATTCTGCAGAGTTGCCGAGAAGCCCTTAGAGTGGCCGACTCCGCCTACTAAGGGCTTCTCTGCAGAATCCTATGGGTGACGTCACGGACACTACGTGCATTTATATATACAGTCTATGGTTGGGAACCGAAACTCGGTTCCAGATGAGAACCGATAAGAAAATGCCGGGTACCCATACAAAATACACAATTTCGGTTCTGCTTAACGGTTCCTAAACGCGGTAGACCCTGTATTCCACCGGGTCCGTCTGCACCGCGGCGACCCGGTGGAATACAGGGCGGACCTGGAGAATCACAGAACGGCCGGTCGTCAGCGGCCGTTGACGTCCGGCTCGGTACGCTGACGTCCGGCACCGCCCTTAATAACGGCATCATGTAAGCTAGGCTGACAGGCGACAGAGGTCCACAGTTGCCCCGCAGCGAGGCTCCCCCCGCCCTCGCGTAGACAGTTCACGAGCTCAGTCACTTCATAACACCAAAGATGGATCGCGGTAAACGCTCTGAAGTGAGGCTCCACTACACTAAGAAAGAAAAAGACAAGGCACAGTGTAAAGCCTATTAATAGCTTGCCACAGGCATAGCTCAGTTAAAATAAAGCACAGCTATTGTGCAATACATTTGTATTGCATGTATATCTTTTTTTGTAAAAATGTCAGTTAAAGCTTAAAAGACTAAAGATATCTTTGTTATCTAAACGTTTGACCTCTTTCTTTTATAATTTTGGAATCGATAAGAACCGGAATCGATACATTTCAAACGATACCCACCCCTAATTATCAGTAATCATTTCAAAGACACATTGGATTAACCTTCAGAAGCTTCTTTATCTTTTTAATGCCATTGAAAACGACTTTGGATCAGAAACCAACAGCTAAGGTGAGACGATCTCCCGTGTTTGCTCCGTAATGCTACGTGTTGTGATGTCTGTTTGGTTCCCCTGTCGCGAGTTCTGATCACTCAGTGATGATACCAATACCTATAGAATCTGTGGAATCTCAGCTTTAATCGGATATCTTGTATGTGCAGTTACGATAAGTAATAAGGGTGTTTTTAACCTTGAGTTCTGTGCTAAGTGCGATGGCATTTTTTCGCTCAGGGCTCATTTAGACACTTCTTGTGAGACTTGTGCTTTGTTTCTATAAAAATGGTTCGTATCTTCAGTTAGCTGAGTTTCTAACCGTTAAAGTGAGTATGACACATTAATATGTATATAAATATTAAGATGCCCTGAGACACAGCTTCGTGAAAAAACACCCCGCAGGCCCCAGATTTGGCGATATATCTGAGTGCAAGCGTACAGTTTGAGCAGAAGCAGAGCAAATCTAGTGCAAGCAGGCACTATTTGAGTGCGCGGAAAGGGTTTGAGGGAAAGAAAAACGACATCTGAACGTGAAGTCCATAAATGATACTCTCAAATTTAAAGACCACGCTCTTGAATAAAGATAGGGAATAACCCCCATAGTAACCAGCTTTATTATTACTTGTTTCCAAAGAACAGTTGTAAGACAAAAGTACAAAAGTTGTAACATAAACATAACGTTGTAGACAAAACGGCAGACAGTAGGCAAAGGGCTGGTCGGGGAAAGGCGAGGGTTCCAGGAGTAGGCAAGACGGGAGACGCAGGTACAGGCAGGGTCAGGGAGCAGGCGAGGCAGAATAGTCCGGGTACAGGCAGGGTCAGGGAGCAGAGCGAGGCAGGCTGGTCAGGCAGGGTGAAAACCAGGAGAGCAATCTGGGAGGTAATGAGGGAACGAACTGCATACTGCGAAATACGATCATGAACTGAGGTGAGAGTGAAGGGGGCCTATATACTAGTGGAGCCAATGGTGTTCCTAGGAAGGCCGTTTATCAGGCAAATAGTCATTCAATATCCACCAGAGCCAACGGTTGTTTTATTATAAAAAAGGCCTGCATATGCTGAGTCAGTTATGATGCATTTTATAGGAGGGGTGTCTAACTCCTCCAGAATGTAAAACTCTGGACTCAACAGTAAATGGACACTGAATGCGCATAACCCTTACATTTAAATTAAATTAGAACATTTGGAGAAAATCAGGAGGAATGCTAGCTTGACTCAGAAAATGATCAGATGGAGGCAGAGTGAGTGCGCTGGTGGACTTTAAGGTTATAACTTTGAGAAAAGGTTCTCCCACACTCTTCACACCAGTATGGTTTCTCTCCTGTGTGAACACGACGATGGACTGTGAGTTCACCTGATGTAATGAATGACTTGTCACACTCTTCACACCAGTATGGTTTCTCTCCAGTGTGAACACGACGATGGATTGTGAGTTGACCTGATGTAATGAATGACTTGTCACACTCTTCACAGCTGTATGGTTTTTCTCCAGTGTGAACACGACGATGGACTGTGAGTTCACCTGATGTAATGAATGACTTGTCACACTCTTCACACCAGTATGGTTTCTCTCCAGTGTGAACACGACGATGGATTGTGAGTTGACCTGATGCAATGAATGACTTGCCACACTCTTCACAGCTGTATGGTTTTTCTCCAGTGTGAATACGAGAATGATCTTTGAGAACAGATGATGTAGTGAAAGTGTTTCCACACTCTTCACAGCTGTAGGGTTTCTCTCCAGTGTGAATACGAGAATGATTTTTGAGACTATATGATGTAGTGAAAGTGTTTCCACACTCTTCACAGCTGTAGGGTTTCTCTCCAGTGTGAATATGAGAATGGTTTTTGAGATTATATGATGTAGTGAAAGTGTTTCCACACTCTTCACAGCTGTAGGGTTTCTCTCCTGTGTGGATGCGCTGGTGGGCTGAAAGATTACTTTTTTGAGAAAATGTTTTCCCACATTGATCACAGCTTTGTCGTTTCTCTCCTGTGTGAATATGATAATGCCTCTGAAGTTTACTTGATTCAGTGAAATCTTTCCCACATTGGTCACAGCTGAAAAGTTGGGGTTCTTTTCTTCTTCTTCTCTGTTTCTAAAAAAGACAGACAGATAAAGAGTCAGTGAGAGGCTGTGATGCAGATATATCTAAAAACTAAAATAAGAGTCTGTAAAATAAACCCCACAATGTTCAAGTTTGTTTTCTCCTTAAATAAAAGTACAGGTTTAAAGTCCTTAAATAACCCAAATGTCCCCCAGTGTAAGGGATAACAGTGTTAGGAATATATTGTGATGAAGTGAACACTAACCTGAGGTCTGGGGGCCTCGTTGTTCTCCTCCATGCTGCTCTCAGTGCTCCTTCTCCTGCTGGGTCTCTGAAATAAGTATTAACACTACAGTCAACACAAAACCAATCTACAGCTAAGAAGTAGCTTAGCAGCAGAGGTGGGAAGTACATTTACTCAAGTACTGTACAACCATAGAGGTACTTGTACTTTACTTGAGTATTCACATTGTATGCTACTTCTACTCCACTACAGTTCAGATGTAAATGGTGTACTTTTGCTCCACTACATGTATTTAATACCTTTAGTTACTTTACAGATGTGGATGAATGATGTGAAATATAATCCAGTGTTAAATCAGACTTTAGTTCCACAAGCTACAAATGAAAGCTGGTTTTTTAATCCTATGGGAAAATGTGGTTTTGAAACAGTTGCTCTAATAATGAAAATACAAAATATAATAAGTAAGGCATTACAAAAAGAAGCTATTACAGAAAGGAACAAAAATGATGTTGCAAAGATGATGGGATAATATTACTAAAAACACAAAGTATTTCTTTTCAATATACCAGTAGTTCAAATAAAGACCATTCATATAAACTTGTACTTTACTTCAGTATTTCCATTTCCTGCTACTTTGTACAAATCAATACAAGACACAACATAAGTGTTTTTATTAATGCTGTCAAAATTATCGCGTTAACGGCGGTAATTAATTTTTTGAATTAATTGCGTTAAAATATTTAACGCATTTAACGCATGTGCAGAATGGCCCGCCCCATACGTGCCACCAGTGGCAGCGCCAGGGTATGGCTGGGGTAGGCTACACCCATACCAAGAAATGGCTGAGCCCCACCATGAAAAATGATGTTAAAGTAAGCAAAATAAAGTCCGCCAACTCGCGGAGTAAATTGCACAGACAGCAGTTAGTAAGATTGATTTCAGCCACTTGTCTGGAAATACCGAAGACCAGAAACGGTTTTGAAAACTTTTGTCACGTATTGATCGTCTTCTCAATAGAACATCTTTGATAATGTCTTCTGGCCAATCAGAATCAAGATAACGGCGTGGTGTTGTTGCAGGAAGTCCCGACGGAGAATACTTTTGCTGTAGTACAGGGGTGCACATAACTGGTACGCAGGTTATGTGCGTAATCCGAAATGCGTACCGTCACTTGTGTCACAAAGCGCATTTGCGTACCGACGTACTTGTGAAGCTTTTCCAGAAGGCGGTTAGATCACCGGACGACAGAGTCGGTCTCCGTGTGCACAGACAGGGCTGCTGTTAACGTCGGTCTGTACAACGGAACTGTGCCAAAACTACGCTGGAGAACTGCGCTAAAACAGCTGATCACAACTTTCACACTCTGTGGCCACGAAGTACTCCACTAACCGCCGCCCCCCACCCCCCTCTGTCGACTTTCCTGAAGTACTCCCCCGTTGATAGAAATCTATATACTGATATACACCTGAACATCAGCAGGAGAGGACTCTTTAAAGTAGAGACGCTACATACTGATATACACCTGAACATCAGCAGGAGAGGACTCTTTAAAGTAGAGACACTACATACTGATATACACCTGAACATCAGCAGGAGAGGACTCTTTAAAGTAGAGACACTACATACTGATATACAACCTGAACTCATCAGGAGAGGACTCTTTAAAGTAGAGACACACAATACTGATACCTATCAAGGAGAGGACTCTTTAAAGTAGAGACACTACATACTGATATACACCTGAACATCAGCAGGAGAGGACTCTTTAAAGTAGAGACACTACATACTGATATACACCTGAACATCAGCAGAGAGGACTCTTTAAAGTAGAGACACTACATACTGATATACACCTGAACATCAGCAGGCAGAGGACTCTTTAAAGTAGAGACACTACATACTGATATACACCTGAACATCAGCAGGAGAGGACTCTTTAAAGTAGAGAGACACTACATACTGATATACACCTGAACATCAGCAGGAGAGGACTCTTTAAAGTAGAGACACTACATACTGATATATACCCTGAACATCAGCAGGAGAGGACTCTTTAAAGTAGAGACACTACATACTGATATACACCTGAACATCAGCAGGAGAGGACTCTTTAAAGTAGAGACACTACATACTGATATACACCTGAACATCAGCAGGAGAGGACTCTTTAAAGTAGAGACACTACATACTGATATACACCTGAACATCAGCAGGAGAGGACTCTTTAAAGTAGAGACACTACATACTGATATACACCTGAACATCAGCAGGAGAGGACTCTTTAAAGTAGAGACACTACATACTGATATACACCTGAACATCAGCAGGAGAGGACTCTTTAAAGTAGAGACACTACATACTGATATACACCTGAACATCAGCAGGAGAGGACTCTTTAAAGTAGAGACACTACATACTGATATACACCTGAACATCAGCAGGAGAGGACTCTTTAAAGTAGAGACACTACATACTGATATACACCTGAACATCAGCAGCAGAGGACTCTTTAAAGTAGAAACACTACATACTGATATACACCTGAACATCAGCAGGAGAGGACTCTTTAAAGTAGAGACACTACATACTGATATACACCTGAACATCAGCAGGAGAGGACTCTTTAAAGTAGAGACACTACATACTGATATACACCTGAACATCAGCAGGAGAGGACTCTTTAAAGTAGAGACACTACATACTGATATACACCTGAACATCAGCAGGAGAGGACTCTTTAAAGTAGAGACACTACATACTGATATACACCTGAACATCAGCAGGAGAGGACTCTTTAAAGTAGAGACACTACATACTGATATACACCTGAACATCAGCAGGAGAGGACTCTTTAAAGTAGAGACACTACATACTGATATACACCTGAACATCAGCAGGAGAGGACTCTTTAAAGTAGAGACACTACATACTGATATACACCTGAACATCAGCAGGAGAGGACTCTTTAAAGTAGAGACACTACATACTGATATACACCTGAACATCAGCAGGAGAGGACTCTTTAAAGTAGAGACACTACATACTGATATACACCTGAACATCAGCAGGAGAGGACTCTTTAAAGTAGAGACACTACATACTGATATACACCTGAACATCAGCAGGAGAGGACTCTTTTAAAGTGGAGACACTACATACTGATATACACCTGAACATCAGCAGGAGAGGACTCTTTAAAGTAGAGACACTACATACTGATATACACCTGAACATCAGCAGGAGAGGACTCTTTAAAGTAGAGACACTACATACTGATATACACCTGAACATCAGCAGGAGAGGACTCTTTAAAGTAGAGACACTACATACTGATATACACCTGAACATCAGCAGGAGAGGACTCTTTAAAGTAGAGACACTACATACTGATATACACCTGAACATCAGCAGGAGAGGACTCTTTAAAGTAGAGACACTACATACTGATATACACCTGAACATCAGCAGGAGAGGACTCTTTAAAGTAGAGACACTACATACTGATATACACCTGAACATCAGCAGGAGAGGACTCTTTAAAGTAGAGACACTACATACTGATATACACCTGAACATCAGCAGGAGAGGACTCTTTAAAGTAGAGACACTACATACTGATATACACCTGAACATCAGCAGGAGAGGACTCTTTAAAGTAGAGACACTACATACTGATATACACCTGAACATCAGCAGGAGAGGACTCTTTAAAGTAGAGACACTACATACTGATATACACCTGAACATCAGCAGGAGAGGACTCTTTAAAGTAGAGACACTACATACTGATATACACCTGAACATCAGCAGGAGAGGACTCTTTAAAGTAGAGACACTACATACTGATATACACCTGAACATCAGCAGAGAGGACTCTTTAAAGTAGAGACACTACATACTGATATACACCTGAACATCAGCAGGAGAGGACTCTTTAAAGTAGAGACACTACATACTGATATACACCTGAACAACAGCAGGAGAGGACTCTTTAAAGTAGAGACACTACATACTGATATACACCTGAACATCAGCAGGAGAGGACTCTTTAAAGTAGAGACACTACATACTGATATACACCTGAACATCAGCAGGAGAGGACTCTTTAAAGTAGAGACACTACATACTGATATACACCTGAACATCAGCAGGAGAGGACTCTTTAAAGTAGAGACACTACATACTGATATACACCTGAACATCAGCAGGAGAGGACTCTTTAAAGTAGAGACACTACATACTGATATACACCTGAACATCAGCAGGAGAGGACTCTTTAAAGTAGAGACACTACATACTGATATACACCTGAACATCAGCAGGAGAGGACTCTTTAAAGTAGAGACACTACATACTGATATACACCTGAACATCAGCAGAGAGGACTCTTTAAAGTAGAGACACTACATACTGATATACACCTGAACATCAGCAGGAGAGGACTCTTTAAAGTAGAGACACTACATACTGATATACACCTGAACATCAGCAGGAGAGGACTCTTTAAAGTAGAGACACTACATACTGATATACACCTGAACATCAGCAGGAGAGGACTCTTTAAAGTAGAGACACTACATACTGATATACACTGAACATCAGCAGGAGAGGACTCTTTAAAGTAGAGACACTACATACTGATATACACCTGAACATCAGCAGGAGAGGACTCTTTAAAGTAGAGACAACTACATACTGATATACACCTGAACATCAGCAGGAGAGGACTCTTTAAAGTAGAGACACTACATACTGATATACACCTGAACATCAGCAGGCAGAGGACTCTTTAAAGTAGAGACACTACATACTGATATACACCTGAACATCAGCAGGAGAGGACTCTTTAAAGTAGAGACACTACATACTGATATACACCTGAACATCAGCAGGAGAGGACTCTTTAAAGTAGAGACACTACATACTGATATACACCTGAACATCAGCAGGAGAGGACTCTTTAAAGTAGAGACACTACATACTGATATACACCTGAACATCAGCAGGAGAGGACTCTTTAAAGTAGAGACACTACATACTGATATACACCTGAACATCAGCAGGAGAGGACTCTTTAAAGTAGAGACACTACATACTGATATACACCTGAACATCAGCAGGAGAGGACTCTTTAAAGTAGAGACACTACATACTGATATACACCTGAACATCAGCAGGAGAGGACTCTTTAAAGTAGAGACACTACATACTGATATACACCTGAACATCAGCAGGAGAGGACTCTTTAAAGTAGAGACACTACATACTGATATACACCTGAACATCAGCAGGAGAGGACTCTTTAAAGTAGAGACACTACATACTGATATACACCTGAACATCAGCAGGAGAGGACTCTTTAAAGTAGAGACACTACATACTGATATACACCTGAACATCAGCAGGAGAGGACTCTTTAAAGTAGAGACACTACATACTGATATACACCTGAACATCAGCAGGAGAGGACTCTTTAAAGTAGAGACACTACATACTGATATACACCTGAACATCAGCAGGAGAGGACTCTTTAAAGTAGAGACACTACATACTGATATACACCTGAACATCAGCAGGAGAGGACTCTTTAAAGTAGAGACACTACATACTGATATACACCTGAACATCAGCAGGAGAGGACTCTTTAAAGTAGAGACACTACATACTGATATACACCTGAACATCAGCAGGAGAGGACTCTTTAAAGTAGAGACACTACATACTGATATACACCTGAACATCAGCAGGAGAGGACTCTTTAAAGTAGAGACACTACATACTGATATACACCTGAACATCAGCAGGAGAGGACTCTTTAAAGTAGAGACACTACATACTGATATACACCTGAACATCAGCAGCAGAGGACTCTTTAAAGTAGAGACACTACATACTGATATACACCTGAACATCAGCAGGAGAGGACTCTTTAAAGTAGAGACACTACATACTGATATACACCTGAACATCAGCAGGAGAGGACTCTTTAAAGTAGAGACACTACATACTGATATACACCTGAACATCAGCAGGAGAGGACTCTTTAAAGTAGAGACACTACATACTGATATACACCTGAACATCAGCAGGAGAGGACTCTTTAAAGTAGAGACACTACATACTGATATACACCTGAACATCAGCAGGAGAGGACTCTTTAAAGTAGAGACACTACATACTGATATACACCTGAACATCAGCAGGAGAGGACTCTTTAAAGTAGAGACACTACATACTGATATACACCTGAACATCAGCAGGAGAGGACTCTTTAAAGTAGAGACACTACATACTGATATACACCTGAACATCAGCAGGAGAGGACTCTTTAAAGTAGAGACACTACATACTGATATACACCTGAACATCAGCAGGAGAGGACTCTTTAAAGTAGAGACACTACATACTGATATACACCTGAACATCAGCAGGAGAGGACTCTTTAAAGTAGAGACACTACATACTGATATACACCTGAACATCAGCAGGAGAGGACTCTTTAAAGTAGAGACACTACATACTGATATACACCTGAACATCAGCAGGAGAGGACTCTTTAAAGTAGAGACACTACATACTGATATACACCTGAACATCAGCAGGAGAGGACTCTTTAAAGTAGAGACACTACATACTGATATACACCTGAACATCAGCAGGAGAGGACTCTTTAAAGTAGAGACACTACATACTGATATACACCTGAACATCAGCAGGAGAGGACTCTTTAAAGTAGAGACACTACATACTGATATACACCTGAACATCAGCAGGAGAGGACTCTTTAAAGTAGAGACACTACATACTGATATACACCTGAACATCAGCAGGAGAGGACTCTTTAAAGTAGAGACACTACATACTGATATACACCTGAACATCAGCAGGAGAGGACTCTTTAAAGTAGAGACACTACATACTGATATACACCTGAACATCAGCAGGAGAGGACTCTTTAAAGTAGAGACACTACATACTGATATACACCTGAACATCAGCAGGAGAGGACTCTTTAAAGTAGAGACACTACATACTGATATACACCTGAACATCAGCAGGAGAGGACTCTTTAAAGTAGAGACACTACATACTGATATACACCTGAACATCAGCAGGAGAGGACTCTTTAAAGTAGAGACACTACATACTGATATACACCTGAACATCAGCAGGAGAGGACTCTTTAAAGTAGAGGACACTACATACTGATATACACCTGAACATCAGCAGGAGAGGACTCTTTAAAGTAGAGACACTACATACTGATATACACCTGAACATCAGCAGGAGAGGACTCTTTAAAGTAGAGACACTACATACTGATATACACCTGAACATCAGCAGGAGAGGACTCTTTAAAGTAGAGACACTACATACTGATATACACCTGAACATCAGCAGGAGAGGACTCTTTAAAGTAGAGACACTACATACTGATATACACCTGAACATCAGCAGGAGAGGACTCTTTAAAGTAGAGACACTACATACTGATATCACCTGAACATCAGCAGGAGAGGACTCTTTAAAGTAGAGACACTACATACTGAAGTACACCTGAACATCAGCAGGAGAGGACTCTTTAAAGTAGAGACACTACATACTGATATACACCTGAACATCAGCAGGAGAGGACTCTTTAAAGTAGAGACACTACATACTGATATACACCTGAACATCAGCAGGAGAGGACTCTTTAAAGTAGAGACACTACATTACTGATATACAACTGAACATCAGCAGGAGAGGACTCTTTAAAGTAGAGACACTACATACTGATATACACCTGAACATCAGCAGGAGAGAACTCTTTAAAGTAGAGACACTACATACTGATATACACCTGAACATCAGCAGGAGAGGACTCTTTAAAGTAGAGACACTACATACTGATATACACCTGAACATCAGCAGGAGAGAACTCTTTAAAGTAGAGACACTACATACTGATATACACCTGAACATCAGCAGGAGAGGACTCTTTTAAAGGTTTCCCTATAATATTAAATCAGTGAACTCTTACGGGGTTTTGTGTCTTCAGAGAGATCCGGCTGTCTCCTTTGACACGGTGCAGCGTTGAGTTCTTCTGCTCCGACGAACCGCTCTTCATGGAAACATCTGAACTCTTCTTCTTCCTCTTCTTCTCCTCGTCCTCAGACTGTGATGCTCCCACCGCTTTCTTCTTCTGTGGTTTCGTGTCTTCGGTGCATTTCTTGTCCGACTCAGCGGATGTTTTTCCGTCTGTCTTCTCAGGTTTCTCCTCCTTCTTCTTCTGGTCTTTCGTCGCCGTTTTCTTCACCTCCGTTTCTTCTTTCTTCTTCTGTGGTTTAGTCGTCTTCTTCTGTGGTTTAGTCGTCTGCTCTGCGGTTGTTTTCCCGTCAGACACATCTTTCTTCTTCTGGTCTTTCGTGGCCATTTTCTCCGCGTTGCTTTCTTTCTTCTCTTCGCTCTTTTTCATCGCCTCATTTTCCTTTTTGCCCTCCGTTCCCTTCTTGTCTTTTTTGTCCTCCGTTGATGCAACTTTTTCCGCCTGACTCCTCCTTGTTTCTGACTTCCTGTTGTCGTTCTTTTTGTCCGATGTTGTCGCCTGACTCCCCTTTGTAACCTCCGAGCTGGTCGTGGCTGTAACCTTCCGAGCTGGGGTCAGTGGCTGTAAACCTCCGAGCTGGTCGTGGCTGTAACCTCCGAGCTGGTCGTGGCCTGTAAACCTCCGAGCTGGTCGTTGGCCTGTAACCTCCGAGCTGGGTCGTGGCTGTAACCCTCCGAGCTGGTCGTGGCTGTAACCCTCCGAGCTGGTCCGTGGCTGTAACCCTCCGAGCTGGTCGTGGCTGTAACCTCCGAGCTGGTCGTGGCTGTAACCTCCGAGCTGGTCGTTGGCTGTAAACCAATCCGAGCTGGTCGTGGCTGCAAATCCTCCTGAGAAATGTTAAAAAAATAAATTAGGGCTGTCAAACGATCACATTTTAATCAGATTAATCACAGCTTAAAAATTAATTAACCATGATTAATCACCATTCGAACTATGTCCAAAATATGCCATTTATTTATGTATATTGTTGTGGGAATGGAAAGATAAATGAAAGAAGGCGGATATATCCATTTAACATACAGTATCTATGTTATAGTATTATTATTATTATTATTACTACTAAATCAATCATCAAACAGTGGGGTCTTAATTCATTACGTGTTGATTTCTATCAACGGGAGAGTACTTCAGGAAAGTCGACAGAGGGGGGTGGGGGGCGGCGGTTAGTGGAGTACTTCGTGGCCACAGAGTGTGAACGTTGTGATCAGCTGTTTTAGCGCAGTTCTCCAGCGTAGTTTTGGCACAATTCCGTTGTACAGACCGACGTTAACAGCAGCCCTGTCTGTGCACACGGAGACCGACTCTGTCGTCCGGTGATCTAACCGCCTTATGGAAAAGCTTCACAAGTACGTCGGTACGCAAATGCGCTTTGTGACACAATGACGGTACGCATTTCAGATACTTACATAACCAGCTTACCAGTTATGTGCACCCCTGTACTACAGCAAAAGTATTCTCCGTCGGGACTTCCTGCAACAACACCACGCCGTTATCTTGATTCTGATTGGCCAGAAGACATTATCAAAGATGTTCTATTGAGAAGTCGATCACTACGTGACAAAAGTTTTCAAAACCGTGGCTACTGAAATCAATCTTACTAACTGCTGTCTGTGCAATTTACTCCGCGAGTTGGCAGACTTTATTTTGCTTACTTTGACATCATTTTTCATGGTGGGGCTCAGCCATTTCTTGGTATGGGTGTAGCCTACCCCAGCCATACCCTGGCGCTGCCACTGGTGGCATGTATGGGGCGGGCCATTCTGCACATGCGTTAAATGCGTTACATATGTTAACGCAATTAATTCAAAAAATTAATTACCGCCGTTAACGCGATAATTTTGACAGCACTAAAAATAATACATCAATTAAGTTATTCTGTTCATTTAAAAAACAAATATATTTTTTCTTCTATGGTTTAACAAATACGTAATTATTTGACTTAAACAAATCTAGAATCTATTTTATAAATGCTAAATCAAAGAAAGAAAATAAATAATTTCCTAATAAGGAAGTCAAATGAAATGGTGTATTTTGCCGCTAAGCTTCTTGGCCAGGTCAGCATTGGAAATGAGATTTTATCCCAATGCTTTTTATTAAATAAAATAAAAAATGAATATAAACTTGAATCTGGAAAAACCCCTCTATTTTCTGTCTCATAAACACAGAAGAATAAAAGCATATTTTAACAATGAATAAATGAATATGTTGTGTGTGTGTGTGTGTGTGTGTGTGTGTGTGTGTGTGTGTTTGTTACAGCGAGCTCCTCCTGCGGCCTCCTCTCTCGTCCGTCAGTAACCCTTTCAGAGACTTCAGGAAACTCTGCCTCTTGTCCGCCTGCCCGCTCTCTCTCTGCAGTTTCTTGTTGACTGTTGGAGATAAAAATCATCCTTACAAAGTGTGTGTGTATGTGTGTGTGTGTGTGTATGTGTGTGTGTGTGTGTGTGTGTGTGTGTGTGTGTGTGTGTGTGAGAGAGTATGTTATTCACCTGGAGCGTTGTTATTTTCTTGCTCTGATTCAAGCTGACAGATAAAGTTCAAAAGAGAAGAAAACACTGAGATTAGGTAAGGCAAGGCAAGTTTATTTATATAGCACTTTTCAACACAAGGCAATTCAAAGTGCTTAACAAAAAATGAAAGAGATTAAGAAAATGGCATTTAAAATCAGTCATTAAAAAGAAAAGATAATAAAATAAACATTAAAAGCAAAAGTACATGGATCAAAGTTACAGTGCAGTCTAAGATATGAATAGTTCAATTAAAAGCAGCGACAAAAAGAAAAGTCTTCTTGCTGGATTTGAAAGTAGTCAGAGTTGCAGCGGACCTGCAGGTTTCTGGGAGTTCCAGATATTTGGAGCATAATAACTGAACGCTGCTTCTCCATGTTTAGTTCTGACTCTGGGGACAGAAAGCTGACCAGTCCCTGAAGACCTGAGAGATCTGGATGGTTCATCATTTAGCAGGAGGTCAGAAATGTATTTAGGGCCTAAACCATTCAGTGCTTTATAAACCAGCAGCAGTATTTTGAAATCTATTCTTTGACACACAGGAAGCCAGTGTAAAGACTTCAGAACAGGAGTGATCCACTTTCTTAGTGTTAGTGAGGACTCGAGCAGCAGCGTTCTGAATCAGCTGCAGCTTCCTAATAGATTTTTTAGTGAGACCTGTGAAGACACCATTGCAGTAGTCGAGTCTACTGAAGATAAAAGCATGGACAAGTTTTTCCAAATCCTGCTGTGACATTAGTCTTTTAATCCTAGATATGTTCTTTAGGTGATAGTAGGCTGATTTAGTAACTGTTTTAATGTGACTGTTGAAACTCAGGTCAGAGTCCATGACTACACCTAGATTTCTGGCTTTATCTGTTGTTTTGAACATTGCAGACTGAAGCTCAGCGCTAACTTTTATACGTTCTGACTTGGCTCCAAAAACCATTACCTCAGTTTTATCTTTGTTTAATTGGAGAAAGTTCTGACACATCCAGTCATTGATTTGTTCAATGCACTTACTCAGTGTTTGAATTGGAGCATAGTCTCCTGGTGAAATTGTTATGTAAATGTGTGTGTCATCCGCATAGCTATGGTAACTTATTTAGTTGTTTTTCATTATCTGAGCCAGTGGTAGCATGTAGATGTTAAAGAGAAGAGGCCCCAAGATGGAGCCTTGAGGAACCCCACATGTCATATTTGTCAACTCAGATGTGTATTTACCTATAGAAACAAAGTTGTTTCTGTCCTTTAAGTAGGATTCAAACCAATTCAGAACTGTTTCCGAAAGTCCCACCCAGTGTTCCAGTCGGTCTAGTAATATGTTGTGGTCAACAGTGTCAAACGCAGCACTGAGACCTAATAATACTAACACTGAAGTTCTGCCACTGTCTGTGTTTAAGTGGATGTCATTAAAGACCTTTACAAGAGCAGTCTCAGTGCTGTGGTTTGGACGAAAGCCTGACTGGAACACATCGAAACAGTTATTTAAATGCAAGAAATTACTCAACTGTTGAAAAACAACTTTTTCAATGATTTTACCTAGAAATGGCAGGTTTGATATGGGCCTGTAATTGTTCATTACTGAAGCATCTAGATTATTCTTTTTTAAGAGCGGTTTAATGACTGCAGTTTTCAGGGCCTGTGGAAAAATACCTGAGTGAAGAGATTTGTTTACTATATGAAGTAGATCTGAGGCCATGCAAGGCAAAACATCTTTGAAAAATCCTGTTAGAATAATATCAAGGCAGCAAGAGGAGGACTTCAGAAGTTGTATAATGTCCTCTAGGTTTTTATCATTAATCTGATGGACCTGTGTCATGGTGTTTGAATTGATGTTAAGTGGAGATAGGGACAACACATTTGCTGTTCCTGATGCAGAGGCACTGACTGCTTGTCTGATTTTCTGAATTTTGTCAGTGAAAAAGGCAAAATCATTGCACGCCCTGGTGGATAGAAATTGATTAGTCGCTAATGGGACGATAAGAAGCACGGCTTCATCAAATAAAATAATCAATTACATTTAAAGTGGATCAATACAAATTAATAATAATAATCAAGGAGGAAATGATTGTGTAGAAGTTGCAGTCGAAAATGGGAAAGCAGGCAAACATATTGTTTAAATAGACAACAAAATGGATGTAAAGCTACTTTTATATAGGGCTGTCAAGTTAACGCGTAATTTGTTGACTCCACTAATTATTTTAACGTATTTTAGGGGTCTACCGATTATCGGCCTGGCCGATTATCGAGGACGATATTCCGCATTTTACAGATTATCGGTATCAGCCTTTTTTTTAAAATCAAATTGCCGATAAAACTTTGGCTCTGATGCGGCCGTTTCTCTGTCCCGCCCACAGCGCTATCTGATAGGCTATTACTGAAGTGTCAATCAACACTGAAGATTTTCCGGGCAGCAGCCAGCCAGAGAGGCGGGACCTTCTCAGATTACAGGCAGGTGCGAAGAACGCAGACAGAGGCAAGCAGCAGCAGTGAGCGGTGTTTCCAAGGTAAATCAGTTAAAGCCGAAGTTCAATAAACATCCCAATCCCC